CAACACTTGCAGAAGTTCCCAAGTAAAGAATCACTTCTCCGCCATTCAATCTTTTGTTTGTCCTAAACCCCTACAATGTATTACATGCATGAGTAGAAGCCCCAGAGTCAATACACCAGGAAGTAGAAGTGACCAACATATTGGTCTCTATGACAAAGGATTCAAAATTACCTTTTTTCTTGGTCTCCAGGTACTGAGACAGTTCCTCTTCAAGTGGTCGGTCTGCTTGCAAAAGTGATAGGCATCTGATGGCTTGTCTTTCTTCTGCTTTTTAGGCTTGCTATCTTCTGAGGTTTCATCTTTGCCTTCATCTTCTTCTTGCCCGATTTGCCACCTTCAACAAGCATGGCTATGGGCTCATCCTTTTTTATCAATTCTTCGGCCCTCTACAACATATTGCTGAATTCCTGAAGGCTAACATTTAGCTTGTTCATATTGTAATTCATTATGAACTGATTGAAGGAAGGAGGCAAAGAGTTCATGATGGCATCAACTTTGGTGACATGATCTAGCTCAGATCCAAGAGCCTCCATTTCATTGATGTATCCCATCATCTTAAGACAATGGTCATGAACTAGCTGGTTCTTGGACATTTGTGCGATCATAAACTGCTTTAGGCCCTTTTGACGAGTAGAACAGTTCTACTCTTCATACATTGTCCTTAGACTATCCAAGATATCCTTGGAAACTTTGATCTGATCGAACTGTTGTTGTACCTGATTGTCTAAGGAGGCTATGATGTAGCATCAGACAAGAGAGTTTTTCTCTTCCCATTCTTGATATTCCCTCCTACGGGCCTCAGACGGGCCTTAGAAGCCCTATCACCCAGATGATCCGAAGCAGGGTTCTTAGCAACTTTGTCCAATTTCTCGAACGTTAGAACCAGCATAAGGTTACGAAACCAGTCAGCATAATTTGGGCTCTTAAGCTTATTATCGTTCAACAGTTTGGCGAATTGTCTGTTTGCCATTTCTGATAAAAGGCAAAGCAAAAATTAATCCACAACCTGATTTGATTCATGTCATCTACATAGATATGACTTTTAATCTATGTTCCATTTCCATTTATTCATATATGAGATTTTCCTCCTATCTCATTGACGGAGACTACGAACTATGTCTCTGGAAATGTGGGAAACCACATACAGTGCATAGAGCCAACTGTTTCAACTGCATAACCCCACCACCTTCTGTAAAGGATCACATCCACTCATCTCATGAGCTTTCCCTTTGACTTCTGTCAGAGAAGGTTCATTGCCATTTTAGGTTAAACCTTTCTATCCAGTAAGTGCTTACCCATCATATTCGTGAACGTCAATGTACCGTGAGAGAGTCTTCTATTTTAGGATAGACCCCTCCCACATCGGTCTATGATGCCCCTATCATCTTATGAAACAATCCAACAAATCCAGCAGCAAATGGATAGCCCAATTTTATGTTGCGTCTCCTCATTACTGAAGAATCCATCTTCATGCTAATGGTGGAAGGCCTCTAGAGAGTTCATCATATGAATCTCCCTATCACATGCACTTATATTTTAGTGGAGGGAACGAAATATTACGCCCTAGTTTTATTTAGGTCAAACCAAAGTGGCTTCCACTAGCTTTCTCAAAGTCAGATTTAAATAGGCCCTAAATGGCTAGGGTTTCACACGGTTCCTCTTGGGGAGGAAGCTAATGTGGGGCCCATCAAACGGGCAGATCATCTAATGATCTTATGGACACCATGGCAATGATGTGCATTCAGCCATGGTGTGCGAAAGAGCCACTATCGAATTAATCACGGGCCAAGTACTTATGACCCACGTACGTAGCACATCACACATCCATACATCACATGCATGAAACAAATTGATCCAATCAATTCAAATATCTGTAAAACCCTTAACTAAATAGATTAAATCAGTATCAGCCCAATAAATCCCATAATGTTGTCATAAAACATTGTTTAGGTACATGGGCTATACTGCAAAAGGCAGTTCGGCCCATGTAGCTAAATCGGGACTGATTCAATTTTATCATATTAAAACTAGGTTTTAATAGAGGTGGGCCAACTTAAAACTTGAAATGGTCCATCAACCCTCTAGCCTAAATCGAATTAGGGTCAAAAAAACCAATCCCATCAAACCAACAATTCGGTCCAACCAGTTTGGACCAAATCTGGTACAAATTGGCCCAAGTTTTGGTGTCCAGTTCAAGATTTAATTCAAGAATAATGATCCGAAAAATAAATTAATTAAAGAAAATCAAATTATCAAGAAAACGAAATCAGAGGGTGGCACTTTGATTTTCTTGGACATCCTACAAACTTGCAAAGAACAGTTAATCACAGATTGCAGAATCAATATCTACAAGATCGTAGATTGTAGAACTTCTTTCTGCGGAATCTTCTTCTCCTCTATTGTGCACTCCAGTAATTTCTAGATGGAATTAAAATATAAAAACCTAATTTTTCTATTATTACATCACATCGAATTCCTATACAATTTGTCAAAATAAAAAAATTATTTACAGACCAAATTGAATAGAAAAGAAATCGCAGGGTGTGCCGATCTTGGCACCAAAAAGATTCAATCTCCATCACATGTGCAACCCAAAAATTCAAGAAAAATTTACAAAACAATTCTATAAATATAACAGAATAATAAAGATTTATTTTCCAGATCATCCGCCCATAATCTAGGAACCAATTCCCAGAAAAAAAACGCTAACTACGCAAATCGGGTAGAACGCCTTCTGCCCATTTGCGCAAACTCAGATCTGATCTAATTTGGTTCAAGACTTGAACCTGGCTCTGATACCACTGAAGGGATGGGAAATCCATCATATGGATAGCCAAACCCTGCAGGAAGGTTGGGCAAAATTTCAAAAATTTCTTTACTCTCATTTGGGAATCCTATTCCCAATTTAGAAAACTACATTTTTAAGGTTTGTTCTTGTAACTAAACTAGACCAAATTTAAGACCAAGATTAGGGAGGGATATACCTGATACGGAATCCATGCAGAAAGCTCCTCCCAACGTAGGTGTTCACACCCAAAGAGTGTACCAAATCCTCTCTCCACTAAAGATGACACAACTTAGGATGATGTAGGATCAACAGGTAATTCTTCACCAAGAACCTGTGATTCTTCAGCAAGAATCGAATGTGATAGTGAGCACAACTTCAAAATTGTTTCTTCTAGCAAGAAACAATATCAAGATGAAATCTTGATTAGATCCAAGAATTGGAGATTGAACAGGGTAGGGCGGCATGAGCAAGAAGAAAAAGAATTGAAGGCAAAATCAGTCTAACTAAGTTGTCTTCTCTCTGTGTTGTGTGTCTTTTTTAGGTCCACCCTGCTTTCTATTTATAGCCTTAAAGAGACAACCTCTTAACCTGATTAGGAGTTTCCTGATCCAATTCTTTATTTGGATCTAGACTCCTTAAGTGATAAGGATAACTCTTATCTTATCTGTAGTTCAAGATCAGTTTATTCCTAATCAAATTAGGAGTTTCCTAATTCAAATCTTTATTTGGATCTGTATTCTTTAAGTGGATCCAAACCCAGATCCGCCACTATTTAAGAGTCTTTATAGTAAGCTGGTGGAGAGGGGGAAAGTAGTTTCCCTTGGGAGCGTGGTGTACAACTGCTCCAAAGAAGGTTGCTTTTCTTATGTGAACGACCTCTCTAAACAAATGTTTGACTAGAGATAATTTACTGAAAAGGGGTGTTTTAATTGATAGCACTAACTGCATCTTCTGTAATGAGGAAGTGGAATCTGTTGATCACTTATTTCGGCATTGTTTTTTTTTTTTTTTGCTAGAAGGTTGTCGTCTAAAGTTTTGGAAATTCTTGGGCTACACTTTTGTTTCCCAAAATCTGTGGTGGAGTTTTTTAACTAGTTGGCAGTTGAAGGTCTGAGTAAAGAAGGAAAAGTAGTTTGGAAAGTGATTCCTTTGGCAAGCTTTTGAAGACTTGGAAAAACAGAAGAGACAATTGTAAAGGATTTATGGGGTAGAACTCACTCTTGGGTTGCAGTGAACAGAAGTTTTACAAATACAACATACATCTCTTTTTGTACAGGTGGAGCTTGTGTTTACACAGTTTCTTGCTGTTTAGGTGTGGTGGTGCATTTTTTATTTTTTTTCAATACAATTCATTACCTTTTCTTAATAAAAAAAAGTCCCTTATCATCTTTTCAATTCTCCTAGCAATTTTCACGACATGTGGATGGTGGAAAGCAAGTAAATTGAAAGATTAGCCAAGGCGGATTAGAATTCCTGCAATGCAATTCACTTCTTCCCCTGACATATTAACCCTGATACATAGTTTTTCTCCAAATTGATTTTCATGTTTGAAATTCTCTCAAAACTTCTTATGAGACCTAAATGTTTCTAATCTCCTTCTTATTTTCCCCTTCACAGAACAGGATTACGTCATCTGCAAAGTCAAGGCAAGTAACCAACACTTGCGGACCCCCTCTTTAACAAAGATGTTGCATTAGTATGATTTGGAGGAATATTATTCATTCATGTTGCCAACCCCCATAGGTGGGTGGGTTAAGGCATTAAATGATGTCAGTTTTTTTTTTTTTTGCTATCTTTTATTTACTAACTAGTTCATTGTTCTGTGGCTAGTAAGACCTAGAACCATTTCTTCTAGGTATTTTGGGGCTTCCCTCAAGATGTAGGACTTCATGACATTATGGCATTCTGCCTTGTTTGGCTCTTGAGACAGGCTTATATGGAGATGCAATCTAAATGCCTGGGTTGTTTGGTCAGAGAAATAGAAGGATTTTTCATTTTTAAAGATAGAAGTTGCAAAATCCGGGCAGTTATTGGCCTTATCAAAGTAAAAAGTAAGAAATGCTTATTGGGTGATCACCGGATCTATCATCATGGAGTTGGTTCCCTTTTGAGTTGGAGTCAAGCAGTCAGCTTTGGTTTTCACAAAGAGGTCATAGGGATTGGTTCTCTTTGCCTCATTCATCAAGTTTGTTGATTAGGATGTTCCACGAGGATGCTTCATGACATGAAAGAACTGTGCACAAGGTTAGACTCTTGGAAAACAGCCTGAACATTTTTCCTGGATCCAACGGTTGGCTGTTGTTCTTGTGGATCTCTTAGAAAATAGAGGATTGGTGGCTTTGATTTTTTGTTACTAAAATGAAGTGGCAATTCCTGCAAGAAATGATTATTTAACCTAGACAGCCCATCTGTATAGTGGGTGATAGATTTGGTTAATCTGATTATTTGGCTAGGCTGATCAATGTTCGCATGTATGTAATGAACAAAAAGTTCTAAAAAGAAATACAGAAAAGAAAACTTTGTTTCTTGACTATAAAGAATTAAGGACTCATCCATCTTCCTTCACAGAATAACTGGACCATTTGACACTTGTGCTTCTCAACTCTTTGGACAGAAAGGAGTGAGAATGATTTAACTAATTATAGAACCCTAATGGTAACCAGAAAGAAAGAAACTCCTAAAGGAATCAATGGATTGATGACAGTATTGTGGGAATTATTCTGCTGATGAGTAGGGCTTCAAATTGGGTTGCCCAACTTGAAGAATTTCAACTACATTGTGCTCAGGTTAGGGTCTGGGACAATTGAAATTTTAACAAATTCCCAACCCAACCTGACCCAAGTTGTACCTTAAATGAGAAATTGTTATTACTCAGACTGATGTATTAATAGCACCTGCAATATGCTCGGGACATGTTTCACAGTTTTTCTTTCCATTTTACAGGGCATTTATGGTGGGACATGCTATTGGTGATGTAATCACTGGTGATTTGATGGAACCTGATATAGTTATAAGTGCGGCTCCTTCAGTTGGAGGATTGTTGGATTCTTTAACTGGCAGCATAGGGATTTCAAGCATTTCTGCAAGAGCAAAACCTGTGGCTGCACCAGTTGTGGCTTCCACAACTTCAGGCGCTGTTGTAACTGGAACTGCTACATTAGATGCTCCAAAGATAGGTTCAAGGCCATTTGACAAAGATGCACTGCGGACATTTATTAGTAGCTCATTACCCTTTGGTTGGTACTTTTTGTTATGGTTTTTCTCATCTCAAGTTTCTCTCATATGATCTTTTGTAGATCTTCCAGCAAGTTACTAAATATCTAGTTTGGGTTTTAATCTGTGTATTTATTCAAATATAGGGACACCTTTGGACCTTAACTATTCCAATATTTCTGCTATTAAAGTGAATGGATTTTCTTCATCAGATTTACCTCCTGCAGACCTAAGGCAACCAGCATGGAAGCCATACCTCTACAAAGGAAAACAGCGAATACTGTTTACAATTCATGAAACAGTTTATGCAGCATTGTATGACCGTGATGAAATTCCAGATGTTTTATCAATTTCAGGTCAAGTAAACTGCAGAGCAGAATTAGAAGGATTGCCTGATGTGTCATTCCCATTGACAGGGTTGAACAATGCTCACCTAGAGGTTTTATCATTCCATCCTTGTGCTCAAGTTCCAGAGCAAGGTGTAGATAAGCAGGGTGTGATGTTTTC